CACCATGTGTTAAGCATTAGACTGGAAACCAAAATGTCAGCCGTTTTTACTCCACCAGTTGTTTTATGGGAGAAAGATGATGTGGTCTCCTTCCATAAAGGAAACCAGATGGGACAATTCTACTCCATCCTATGACACAGAGTGACTGCAATTGGGAATTGACTCATCAGCAATGGGTTTGGGTACAGGAGGATGTGTGGAAAGTTGAACTGAGCACTGGTGGGATTGCCCCAATGTGTGCTGAAGCAATAAACCACCTCAGGGCCCATATATGGAGGTGTCTTTGAACCTCACTTATATACTGGGCTTTATCTCTGGTCTCCTGTATTATGTACAATTCACAAACTGTTACCTTAAGATCATGTGGATTTGCTCTGGCAGACACTATTAAGGCAAAAGCTGACTTCAAGTTTATATTTTCCCCAGCAATACTACTTGTACTACACTTCTGTACTCTTAACAGTCTCTCATTTTTGGTGCCAACTCAGTGCATTTGAAAAACAAAACAAAACTTATTTTTACCCAGCTTTCTAAGTTCTTTACATTATACAATTACTATCTTATTACACCATATGGAGATCTAAGTTCCAACTGCCTACCTTGGACAAATCCAACACTCTGGCTTCTCTCCTGGACACAACAACTGTTGTTGATGTAGTTATGTGATGTTGAGTCAGCTAAGACTCATAGTGACCCTATGAACAAATCCTGAGCCCATTTCACCATCTCTGATACACCTGACGCTACTTCCACAGTCAGTGTCAGTCTATCTCACCTGGGGTCCTTTCTGCGCTGTCCCTGTCCCTCCACCCTTCCAAACATGATGTCCTTCTTTAGGGACACGTCCCTCCTGACAACATGCCCAAAGCATGTAACTTCAAATTCCTGCCTCCAAGGAGCAACTTGGGTTTACCCTCTCCAAGACAGATGATCTATTTGTTCTTTTAGCAGTCCATGGTATGTTCAAGACTCTTTTCCAGCACCACAATTCAAAGGCATCAATTCTTCTTCTGTCATCCTTAGTCACTGTCCAGCTCTCAGACATAACAAGCAATTGAGTAGACCACGAATTGTATCAGGTGCATCTTAGTCGTTAGACTGATAGCATTGCTCTTTAGCACTCTGGAGAGGGCCTTGACAGCAGATTTTCCTCTTTTTTATTTCCTGACTGTGCCAAAGATGTTAATTGCGGATCTGAGAAAGAGAAAATTGTTAACAATGTCAATCTTTTCTCCATCTATCATGATGTTCCTTATTGGCCCAATGGTGTAGATTTTTTTATTTCTTGATGTTGAATAGTCAATATGTATTGAAGGCTGCAGTCCTTGATCTTCTGCAGCATACACTTCAAGTCCTCTTCAATTTGGGCAAGCAAGGTTGTGTCATCTACATAATGCAGATTGTTGACCTAAACAACATGCCTCTGGAACTCTATGAACTTTGATAAGTGTTGATAGTTATAAAAAGGCTTCAGGTCTTTTGTTCGTATGATAAGTCGTGCTCTACTCAATGGCAAGCAACAACTATATCATCTATCTATCTATTTATCATCTATCTATCTATCTATCATCGATCATCTATCATCTATCTGTATTTGAAAAGTATGTGGAGAAAGAACACATCCCTAACACATGCCCCTTTCTTTGCTCTGTTTGGACAACAGCTTCTTGGTTTTGCATGAGCACAATCAACTGTTCTGGAATTCCCATTCTTATCAATGTCAGCCACAATTTGTTGTGATCCATATAGTCAAATGCCTTTACATAGTAAATAAAACAAGGACTTTTTTTTATTCTTTATTATTATTATTATAGTGTGTGTGTGTGTGTGTGTGTGTGTGTGTGTGTGTGT